AACTCAACTAACATGCCCTTCTCGTTTGCTTGCTTGAGATGAGTACGTTTTGTACATGAGGACGCTGCAGGCTTACTACTACATCCTTCTGCCGTAGAAATTCTGAGCAAGCATTTGATGAAACAAATTATGATAAAGCCAGAGTAAATATTTTAAGCGGTATCTTCATATTTCAACCAAGTCTTCTCTGGGAAGGAACTTGAAATTTCTTATATCCATTTGAAAATGTCAGTGTCTCATCTGAAGAGTCACTCATGAATCTCTCATGTATTTATAGTCAGAGGACTGATGCAGTGCCGTAAGTTAGGCTTTATGTCTTTCAAGTTTTCCAGGAAATTTAGGGCTTATTCTGATTGTGCAGCTGTAGACATTAAGACCACTGTACTCAGTGGGTTTTCATTGAAAAGTATAGCTGTGTTAGAGAAGCAGACCAATTTTTCAGATATTTATGGTATATTCTCATTATTGCTTATTTTCTGCTTATTTTGCTTATTTTCATCAGAGAGGTGGTAGACATGATATTTCTGCCGTTCTTCTGTTGGGGACTTTAAGAACTTTAAGAACTCCAGTGCAGAGAAAAGCGGGGAAAATTAAGCCTATTGCTTGAGAAGAGGCTAAGAAATCTTGACTTCCTTGGCTAAATAAAATGAAACGGAGAGGGTTATGAATCCTGTGATAAAACCCAGAACTTGACTCAATGACCTGACTGTTAAAATCTACAAAACTTCCTGCCTTTCCCACTCCTATTTACCTTACTTAACATATAAAGCAGTTGGAATTTTTGAATTGGCAGCTAATCTACTGATATTGAATTTAATCATTTACAGAGAAATCTGACTCTTCCGGAGTTTTAGGCCTTTAATTCTTACTAATCTCCATTTTATTTCCTGCTGCAAGGGGGAAAATGATTAAGTGTATGCAGAAGAAAGAGTCAAGGACGCTTCCCTGATCGTCTTTCTGACAGATTTATTCTGCCCCCAAGTAGGACCTTCGATCACCTCTATTACTGCTGAAGCAACCAATTTCTAAAATCCTTTTCAGCTTAGAAAGTCAGTATAGAGACAGGAGGAAAAGACAACTGAGGTGATAAGTTCTAATCAAGATTTTCACATGGTTTCTTTGTCTTGAAGGGGATTTGCTTTCTATCTCATAGGATCCTTCTTTTAACATTTCTTTTAATTGTAATATGGTGATGATGTTGCTGGCTGTATGCTAGTTGTTTTTCTGGAATTCATGAACGAATTTAGACCCCTGTCTAGTCTAGTTTAGTTTGATGTTTTTTCTTGGTTCACAATAAAGTTCTAGGGTTTTTTACTGTTATCAGCTTTGATTTATAACCACCTGTGATGCTTGGCAGTGATTTGTGATAAGACTGTTTTGGATCTTTTAGCTGGAAGCTTAAAGAGGATGTAAAAAGAACTTGTTTAAAAACACAGAAGAAGTTATAGTCAAGCGTTCATAACCACTAAGAAAGAAAATGGAAGTTTTACCCGATGTGTCTTTGAAAGAACATGGTCAGTAAAAGTAAACCGAACAGAATGGGAATAGTTTGAAGCATTTTTGGAATATTCCCACTGTTTTGGAATCTGAAGAACACATAAATGTCTTCATTCTGTTTCTGTCTTCGATCCAGTTGAATTGCAAAAGTACAGAGAACTATTGGCTTTTTTAACAAGGCTTTTCCAAAACTCACAAGAAAATATAAAACATTTTGGTCAACCTTTTTTATTGATTGTTATGAAATGTGAGCCTAAATTACTAAAACATTATATTTTTCATTTGTGCGGGGCTTCAGAAGTCTTTATTATCAAGGGTTGTATTTTGAACAAGGAACAAGGAACAAGATGTACAGTTTGTATTCAGAATCTTCCAAAGAACGTAGGACACTATGAGGAGAAGGAATCTTTGCTTCATCGTAAAGTAGTAATTGCTTAAGTACTGTCGTTTTGTCTGCTGTGAGGATTGGTAAATCTGGTCTTATTTTTCAAGCTGAGGATAGCTTGTATATTGTGCATTAGGATTTCAATGTAAGGTGGCTGAAAGAGGACAGGGAATGTGTGACAGAGTATTTTTAGCTTTAATGTTCTAACTTTGTGAAATTAGGTCAGTTGATCCTCTGGCAAAAGTTTGCAAACTCATAGAATTATTCTAACCTGTGCTTCCAGTATCCGTATATTGTCTCTAAAGATAGTGAAGTTTACTGACACCTAGGTACGACTTTTTTCGACAGCTCATGCTCCGTAGTGGCTGCAGGGAGTTGCTGAGCCCCAGTGCTTTGCTCTGGCATTCTGCCATTTGGCGATCTCTCTAAATGGTACAATCTTTCTGTGATCACCTGCACTGGTTCCTGTGCCGCTAGCGTTGTGCAGGGGTAGGTTACTCACTATTTTCCACAAGTAGTTCTGCAAGTGATCTTGATAAAACTTTTTTCGTCACTTGGTGCCTGACAATAAGCTCAAGCAAGAATGAATGCCGCATAGAAAAAAGTTGAAAAGCCCAGTGAAGAGTCACAGACTATATGCTGCAGTATTTGCCAGCTATAAAAACTGTTAGCGAGACTGAGTATATTGAAGACAAAAAGCACCGTTGGCAGAAATTCCTGATGTTTGAATACAAAACCAATTACACCTTTTCAGAAAACATTAGGTTTGTTACATTTCTCCCAAAAATACCACTTGGGAGTGCTTGGAGGATACGAATTCTAACAGGATCTAATGGATAAAAGCAAAACAACAGTTTTTTTTAACTTCTTATGATCAGTATATACGTGAAATAAAAGGATTAAAGGATCTGTACAAGGAGAATACGTTTTTAAAAGTATATATAATTTATTTCTCATTTAAATGGTACATTTAGTTTAAGCTGAGAGAAAGTATGAATGATTGTCTATTTTCCAGACATTCAAATGAAGATTTCAAATAAATATCCAAATAAACTAAAGTTCAAAGAGCTTGGTTCTTCTTTGATTCTCCCAATTTTAGAATTAAACTCGCTTTAATTGAGTTGAGTTTAGCCATGCAAAAAGGAAGGTTATAATCAAACCAAAGATTTTGTTTAGAGTGAAAAATATAGTATTGAAAAAGTGTAATATCTTGATGATAACTCATTATCAATGTTTCACATTGCATAGAAATACTACTTTAATTAATGTAAACAAGTACCTAAGTATACTATTAGCATTTCTATAATAATTTGTACTCTAAGCCCCTCACCAGGACTTCATTGTGTTAGGTCCTGTACAAAGACAGAGCAAAATCCCAGTTCCTGCCTCAGAGGAGTTTACAGCCTAAGAACGTGAAGAACAACACAAGGTCAGTCAAATTGATAGAGGAGTAAAAATTCACATATTCCATTAGCTGGAGTTTTTTGTTAGCACAGAATCTGTTGAATTATCTGTGAGTCTGTAGGTTCAATAATGGTTTTGCACTGCTATTGCTGTTTCTGCGTTGAAAACATTTAAGTGGCCAGTGCCACAGAAAAAATAGGAAAGCAATGCTGCCATTATTGCTGTACACAGTGAGAAAAAGACAGTTATATGACTGATCCATGTAAAAGGTATCTTGCTCCTCGCAGTTTGAAACAATACAGCCCAGGAAACTGAAGGTAGGTCTTGTGCAAAATGTGAGGCTCCTCCAGACCCTCTGCCACCATGTGTTCCATGCTGATGAGCTTGGGATACTGGGTCAGTCTGGGATTCTTGAGATTTGGCCCTAAAAACACATAGTTTGGTGTAATGAAAACTGAGATTGAGAGGGTCCTCTCACCTGAGGCTTTGTTTTCCTCAGAACAGCAATAGTGGTGAATTTGCTTTTTAGGTTCTGCCTTTACTTTGATATTCAAAATAGGCATATTTTTTTCTCATTGGTGAAATTATTAAAAGGATGAAGTCGTCCTTGTATGCCTTTGTGACCTATAAAATTAAGCAAATGTAACATTCCTTCTTCATGATTTATTCTTCCTGTCAGTGAAAAAAAATCTTCTTCTCCTATCCATCTGCCAACAAAAAAGGAAGAAAAATGTAATTAGGGAAGCGAAAAGAAACATTTCCCAAGCCAGTGAAAGTATAATTTTGATCCAGTTGCCTAAATATGCATCCTATTGTGTTGCCATTTGAGAGTCTGTAGGATAGCTGAGACATCTGAAAGGTACAGTAGAGGTTGTGAGATCCGCACTCTTTCAGACCAGCAGCTGGAGGCTACAGAGGATATACCCTATGGCATCTCAGACAGCACTAAGTGTGTAAGTTTAAGCAACTGAATAAAATCCTCTAATCTTTGCATCACCTGCATATGTGTAGTATTAATATGTAACAGCTAGCAAACATGGAATCAGTGATTTGAGTATATCACTGTCAGGTGTTGATTTTTAAGGTACTCATAATGTTAGAGATGGAAAATGTATAATAGGCATTTCCTCTATATATCCCCCAAAAACCCCAAATCTTTCCAGCTCTGATCATGTTGCGCAGTTACTAGCACATTGTCTACTGTAGTGTTAAATGCCTTTCTGACATCTACTCTTCTCTAGGAAAACACTTAGCAGCCTAAAAGCTAGCCTCCCAAAATTCATACTATCTTTAGTCTGTAAGAATATAACTTTCTTTAATATACCTTTTATTATAGATAATATGTTTACATATATGCTAAGTTTCAAGAAATATTATTTTAATCAAGATACTGCCACTTGCTGTAGGCATCAAGGATACTTTTTGTGATCTTTTGTCATGAATTTTTACTTTTAAACAATCCAACTCATTATAACAACCTAGTGCTTTTTGGCTTGCAGAAGGTATTTGTTGTATTAATACCTCAGGTTTGTATTCATTCAGATGATTCCAAATAACAGACAACTGCTTTTTTGTAAAGGAAACCCTAACTATTCTCTACTTTATTTCTGACTCTACTGCTTTTACAAGATCCAAGGAAATTGGCTCGTGTGTGCTATGTGTTACAGGCACTGGCCATGAAGATGAGCCTTTGAGGAAAATCTTAGGGATCTTTTCAGCATAGATCTCTGTTATGGAATATGAGAATATGTTTATTCTTAGTTGATGTCTGATTATAAGCAACAATAGGTTGCATTAAAGAAGGTATACAAATTCTCTCTGAAGCCTGATCTGAGCCGAAAGACTTCAACCATGCAGTAGGAATCTGCTCATAAACAGTGCTCACGTTATCAAAGCCAGACTTCATCTTCTCAATCTGCCCATACATTCTGTGTTTCAGTGATTCATAAGAGACTTTCTCATCAGATTTTCTGAGGTCTTCACTAAAGTGGAGAGAGGTCTCATAGGTTGCAAGCTGCTGTTCTGAGCTTTGGGACTCTGTGGTGGATCTTGCTTTGTTGGGTAATTTTGGAGTGAACGTAGAGTGCAGAGAAGCAGGAGAATATAATGTCAGCTTGTTTTCTGGAGCACTTGATAGAGGAAGAGTTAGGGAATGGAGTGTCTGACTGTGAAGAAATGAGTGATTTTTGCATTGCTGCAGCTGAAGTTCAGCATACACGATTTCTGGAGGAGATGGCTTTAGAAGATCAATATTTTTGCTGTATGTACATTCAGTTTGCTTGGTCATGGTATAAACTGTGCTTATATTTGTGCCCTGTTTCCACTGAGTACTGGTTGACAGGCAAGCTGAATTTTCAAGGCATTTCTCTGTAGCAGTCTGCGTCTCCAGAGCAATAGTTGTGTCAGTTAGAAGGCGTTTGTTCAGCTCTGCGTATACAATGTTGTCTTGTTTGTCTAAATCATGCTTCAGGGTCTCAAATGTGAGCAAGCTGCTCCTCTCTGGCAGTGGTGGAGCTATGTCAGAATCCTGATGAAATTTGGAAGGAAGAAAGGAAAGAACCAATTTTCACCAATGTTACCTATGCAAAATGCAATGTATTAACAAAAAGTCTTTGAGATAGTTTTGACCTTAGTCACTTGTAGGCAATGAAAAGGAAAAGTAATGTACTTTATAAATCTTGCAGCCCTTACTACATCCTTATACAATTCAAATGCATACTAAGTCTCTGGGGGTCATGGCTTGATTGATAAAGGTAGCATCTGAGATTATCAAAAGAATTCAGAATATGTAGTTCATTCATATAAGGGGATATATGTGGGGAAGTGGTTGGCTCTATTTTTAAAATCCCCAATAAAAAGTCTTATGCTGATGGCTGGGAGTCAGTTTGAACAACTGGGAGTCAGTTTGACTGAAATGGAACAACCGCTTTGTAGCTCTTTGTTAGGTTTGTGCTGAGTGGTATCAGCAGATTTGCAGTGGATTTTGGATATAAGAACAGACATAATGTAGAGCTGCAGAAACAAATATGCTAGCCTGGATTAGGAATCACTAGACCTGGTGAAAGACTGTTGCCACTTTAATGGTGAGGCCTAAATTTAAGCAGCACAAGATTTCATGGGGCAATTTTTCTGTGACAAATCACATTGCAAACTAATTGATATTGTGTTCACAGTCATTACTAGGTCTTTCAGAGTTACTGCTTTCCTATTAACCTCCTTTAAAGACAGGATATATGAGATTTAGGCCTCTAAGTGTTGATATTCCCACCTTACAGATGATAGGGACTGAGATAGCAGGTTTAGTCATTTGCCCAAGCTAATGTGGAAACTCAGGCTTATTTCTAACCCAGTGCTGATATCATATAGTCTTGCACCTGGAAGGCAGCACAGGCGGACTGTAACTGTAACACATTGCAAACAAAGATTTTGTTTAGTGAAACTGTTAAAATTACATCTGGCACAAAATAATTTCAAGGATGATGCTGTACAATCAGAAACATATCTATAACTCTATAATGTCACTGAATTGTGAATGGGGTATATGGTAGTACTAAAACACCATCCTGCTACTGACACTAATTAACTGAAGAGTAGTTTCTGCCTCTTCTTCAGATAGTTATCAGTAGCTATTTATTAAATTTCTGTTGAGTCTTACCTCAGCTTTCTGCAAATGATCGTGAAATGTTATTTTTGATCTTGAAGAGAAATCTAGGAGTTTCTCACTGTGATCAGAATTGCTGTAGGTGTTACCCACTGGTACTGTGGCTGTTGAGCTACCGGACATTTCCTTTGCAAATAAAGAAGCTATTGTCTTATTGTTTGGTTTATTTTTCTGATGCCAAGTGGTTTCATCGTATACACTTTTGTCAGCTGTCTATGGAGAAAAAAGTTAGAAATCTGTGTTGTTCATTCTGTGAAAGCTAACACTTTCATATAGCATTTCTGTATAATACTCTGGAAGTAATGTAGGGGGTGTAATACTTCAGAAAGGATATGAAAATTACTATTTAAGTTCACGTTCATGATGTGTCTTTTTAGGGATGCATATTTCAGAATCCTGTTGCACAGAGATATGCCTGTGTTCTCAATTTGTGCTATAAAAATAAGAGGTGCAACTGATCAAAATAGAATTCCAGTAAGGGGCTGAATTCTGCTTTCTGGCATAGCTATGCCATTCTGTAGCAACTCCATTGAAGGGACTGGAGATGTTGGTGATTGAATGGAATGAGAGTATAGTTTGAACTAAAGCATGTCCATCCAACAAACTGATAAGTATTAATTAGAGCAGCAGTCTTCACAAGCAGTAAATGAGATCCATTGTTGAAATAACCATTAATTCCTCATGCAGCCTGCATGCATATTTTCAACTTGGAAAGCTTGTTTTACCTTAGTCTGCAATATTCTTTATCATATTTGCACTATTCTTTACTGTGTTTGATTTCAAAATTCTACTTTATTTGCCTGTCTTGGCAACAATATCCCATGCTCAGCTATAAGTATTTTTGCGTCCTCTGATTAATCACAAACATGTTGATGAAGCATTCTTCAGTGCAATATTTTTTAGCCTAGGCCAAAGCAACAAAACAAATATTTTAGTATATTCGGTTCCCTTTCATCAGCAACTAACTGAATTCTGAACTCCTTAACCCACCTTAGCATAGGCAGTTGTAAGACTTTCTCCAAACGGCTCAATTACAGTTGTTTTGTAGTAGCTTATCAATTCTGCAAGACTTTCATGAGCGCAGGTATCCCCAGACACAACATAGCAGCCGTTACTCAAGTGATTGATGACAAAATGCCGACATCGATCTTTGCCTCTGTAATAAAAGTCATGGGATTGGGTTAGGAATACCCTGGCTTGGTTTGGCATCCTCACTTCAAGTTTGGCAACTCAGAAGTTGGTGTAATTGGATTCAAACCACATTTATCTGAGCAATCAAAGCAGAAGAGCTTTTGAATAAAAGGATTTTACCTTGTCTCTGTGACAAGGTCACAGAGACCTGTCAAAGTCAAATATGAAACCTCTTAACTCTTGAAAGTTAGGCTCACAAACCTGATGTTTTCGTCATGTAGTTGTTGCATTTTCATTCTAGTCTACTTTTATAGCTTTAGAAAATCTTTAAAGATAGAATTGTCATAACGGGAAACCATGTTGACCTTCAGCTTGGGTCATTAGCAGGATTTGAACTTTTACATCTCACAGTCTGGATGAACAAAAAGAATTAAATAGCAGTAGTAAGCTGTTACACTCACTGCGGAATGGTTATAGGAGAAGGGCGAGTTGCATATTTTCTCATTTTTTATTAGTGTTTTTCCCCAACTGGAAATATGTAGAAAATCAGAACTTAGTTTACTTTTAGGATGTCATGGTTATAGACTTATTTGTACTTTCATATTTTTTTATTCTATATATTTCCCATTCTGGCTTCTCTCCTCTCCTGTTCCTACTGGCCTTCCAAATCGAGCCTCTTTTCAGGTTCACAAGTCCACACAAGATAAATACTTGACATAACAGTACCTGCCTTGCCTGCGTCAACTGTTTGCTCCAAAGTGTGAAGGTGTTGTAGTTTTACGACATAATGGTTTTGAGATTTTTTTAGTATGAGCAAGCAACACACTTGCCCATATACTTTCCATGAATGTTTTGCATATACACACACTAAAAAAAGAAAACTAAAAAAAATCCCATTTTGAAGTGAACATGACATAGAAAACATCAACTACAGTGACTACATTTTCACTAAACTAATAACACAGAAGCAATTTCATGGTGGGAAGTGTCATAGCATTTTAACTAAGTTGCAAAATTGGAACTTAGAGATTCAGCTGTGGTTTCTGTAGGAGGGATCTTTTTTATTCCTTTTAGTCTTAAGAAGTCTGAAATCCTAAGGCATGTTTCTTACATGATTCAGAACATGTAAAATGAATTGTAGGTAATATTTAAGAAAGAGGAAAAAATTCAGCAAATCTTATTTGGACAAAACTCCAAGTTAATTTCAGCATGGTTCTTCAAACAAATCTAACCAGACAGAATTTAACTGAGATAGCACCTGTGGATAAAATATGCTGTTCTGCACATTCTTCTCCCTTTTCTTTCTTTTCATTGCGGGCCACTGACCACTACTTTCTGTTCTGTAGTCTCTGTGAACCACTGTCTGCCGCTGCTGCATGTTGCCAGACATGAAAACCAAAAGTTTGCATCTTCTGTATGCTCAGATTAAAAACTGCAATTTTTTTCTATACCACTTTTATGTAAAGAGACCACAGCTTCTTTCTGTCTTATTTCTCCTACAGCACTTTTTCATGCTCTTTATATGGAAGTTACATGTCAGTATGATTTTATAGGCCTACAATTCATCTGTGTTTCAGCCACTGTGGAAGCTTGATCAGGTCCCAAGAATGTAGTCTTAGAGACTCAGTGCATTTAAAGATATAGAGAAAATCTTATCTGTCTAGACTCCTTTACCCTTCTATATTTACGTTTAAAAACAATATTGCCTTTAAATAATCTTATAAAAAAAAAGACCCTGAAATGAAACACGTTTGTTAGTTATGTACACCTTAATGTGTTTCTGTCAGCTGATACTGTAGATTCAGTTCCACTACACTACCACCACTTTGCATATTTCCTCTGAATTTTACCCCATGAACCTGAGTGAAAATGTACTGTGCGTGCCAGAAAACCACCCCTCAAGAACCTGCTACTGAGTTATCAACATATTCTGGTAGGCAACAGTGTAAGGTTTAATACTGACCTATAAGGTGAAAAGCAGTGTGAATACATGGGGAGGAGCCTAAGAAGGAGAAGGCGTTTGCAGGTACGATGTTGGAGCATGAGAAAAGGAGTGGAAATTCTCCCCCATAACAAACTGGAGGAAGCATAAGGCATCTTTTATGCTTAACCACACAGGGTCATTTTGATCCTGCTCCTCATAAAATATCGAACACTGTCCAAAGGTCAGCAAAGGTGTTTTGCGTGTACTTCTAGTGTCTACTGCACTAATCAGCTTGACAGCTGCTCCCTGATGATCAGGTTTCACAGTCCCATTATCATTAGTTTGAGCAATTAAAACAATTTTTCTTCTAACTCTTTGCATTCTTTCAATCTCTGTTCATAGAGCATCCCCTTAATGAATAAAAAATGATGAAAAGTAGAACAATTACTCCAGGTTTGGGTAGTTTGTTTTTGCTTTCCCAAAAGGTGCACATTTGATATCTCATTGCATGGTGTAGAACATTTACATGTTTAAAATTTTTTTTTGCAATACTCTTAAAGTTACAGGAATAACTACACGTGTTGTCAGGAAGCAAGCTTAAAGGAATAAATGTCGCATGAACTAAAATATTTTGAAGAGCAAAGTACAGATAACAAATGGTGACCGCTCCCAACCAAGAAGCAGCAAGCTTTTGTTTCTTGTACACTACAGCCTTACCTGTACGAGAGAATATAACCAATTGCTCTGTCACTTAGTCTGATCAAAAAACAGCCAACATCTCTTTTTCTCAGCATGTCTTCAGTCTGCCTATACAAAGAATGTTTTACACTTAAATAAATACAACCAGTTCTATTGATGCACTAAAACAAAATTCCTAGAAACACCACTGCACTGTATCACTTCATTAGAAACAATTGAACAAAGCAGTGGACCTTCCATTCATTTTTTGTATGCAAGATACTTTTTTTTTTGTTTCTTGCTACCAACCAAAAACAATTTTCATTTTTTAAGCCTCTGATTGTTACATTTTGAGTTGGGTTTAAATGATTTGACTTTTTGATTATTATAGCCCAAAACTTAAGCCTGCTTAACTAAAAAAAAATGAATAATACAGCAAAAGTTTCTGAAAATTGCATAATAATGTTCTCTCACCTTTCTAGAGCACACACCAAGTCCTGGCATTTAAGCAATGAAACACAATAACGTTGTTTAATGCTTTCTCTGTCTGTATATGAATGTTACCAGCTAGGTACTAGAAAATACAGACTTTAAGGGCAGATTTCTTTTTTTCAAGGAAAGCTTAAATCCAATCATAAAATCTCTCTTACTTTCAGAAGACAGAGAAATCTAACTACATTTTTAATATAATCTATGCCATAGTATATTTATACATAGCCTTACTTTCTTGTGATGAATCCATGGAACCATTCAGGAAAAGTACCATTCTCTAATATTATTGCAGCCTGTGTCTCCAGAAACCACTTCAGTACTATTTCTTTTAGCGTCTGAAAGGACTGGTTTGCAATTTCTGAGCTTGTTTCCTTTCCTAAAAGTAACTGCTGCTCTTTCCTCTCCATCCTGGTGTGAAGTTGAACCTGGAGCCGTTGAAGGGAAAAGTGAGAGCAATCCTGCTGTACAAACTACTCCTGCCGTCTATATTCTTGGCCATGTGATCTCATTTGCTTATTGTACTCACTACCCTGTTGTTCTCTAGCAAGATGGTAAAATAGACTCAATGTCATTGCTTTTCAAGCAAAAAATGTTTTCTGCTTTTCTTGTAAAAAATCTTCTCACTTCCTCCTCACAATAGAAAATGCCTGTTATAGAGCATCTGTTAAACCTTCCGTGAAAATCTCAGAAGAAATTTCTTTTATCTTTGCATTTCTCCACAAAAGCCCTGGTCTCCTGAGTAAATTAAGTAACTAACTGTTTCTCTACTTACTATAATTGATCTTCAATATTACAGATGGTTATTCTGATAAGGAAGGTAAGAATCTACCAAACTCCAAAGGGAGAAAAGTGATATTTCAGATAAACAGGAGGCTGAATAATAGGAAACTTTAAGGATGAAGGCTCATCTAGATAGATGGACTGGAAGGGAAGTATGTGATTTTGAAAAGCCAATGCACACGCATTTCATGAAAGGTGTAACAGATCACTGGTGATTTATGGGACCCTAGTGAATACTCTCTGGCTGGTCAGTGGAGCCATATAAAGCAGTACTTAATTCACATCACTTTTTAGTGTTTCTATTAAAAGTGTGACTGAAAGGACATATAGCAGTTTACAAGAAATTCTGAGAAATCGAAATACATCTGTTGATTTAGAAGCCACTGAAGACAGCTTAGTTAGCTAGTCAACCCAGCAAATACAGACACGTTTCACCTGAAGATGCCGTTCCAGTCTATAAGTCATATGATACATGGGCAAAACAGTCATCTTCAGTTTATAGAGCACATACTCCCGAACAAAGCCTTTACCCAGAAGCTTTGCTACCAGGTACTCTCATCTAGTTGCAGAAAATGCATAAAAAGGAATAAATGTTTGCAGTGTTTATTGTCTTACGACATCAAGGCCAACTGCAGCAGACCATGTCTCGTCTTACAGAAGGGTTCCATCACAATAACAAATCACGTTTATATTTTTTAATAACAAAAGTATGTGATGAAAAGTGTTTCTCAGCTCTAGTTCTAGTATCTATGGTCAGTGGCTTTGGGCTCAGCCCGAGATAGTTATGTCACAGCCTAACTTCCAGTTTACTTCCACAGTTTAGTAAAATGTGTCCCATAACGCACAATTACAGGAAACTCCCTAGTGACGTATTTCACCAAGAAACTAGATTGAGCTAGATTTCTCTTCACAAGTAACCAGAGAAGGGAATTTAAGTATGTGTGTCTCCCTACTCCAGTCGGAGTTCTCGTGGTCTTGTAAAAACTGAACTTTCTAGTCCTGCAGCCTTCGATTCTCATGTGAAAATAATGGGAGGGTTGTTTGTTGTATACCCCTTTAAAACAAATATCTTTTTTTAATAAATGAATAGAAATAATATTTCCCTTTGACTAGAGTCAGCTGTACTTTGCATAAGAGCACAAATGCATTTGTTCTTTCATTTGCAAATGCTTTAAAAGTAGGAATGACAAACTTGAGGTTGCATCCATGTCACAAAAATGCAAATGTTTCTGGTTCCTTTTTTAGAGCTAATGAGATCTTTCCTCACTAAATGAGTTTATTGGAGTTTAAAAAAGAAAACTAAAAGCCTACTCAAAATATTCGAAAGTGGCCCCAGAATTTTGAATGCCCATTCTAGGTCATGGTTAATCAAAGATGGTAAGCATACACAACTACCCTGGTAATTTGAAGTTTATGGTGCTCCATAAAAACAAGGCCCATAATGTCTTGATTTTTGGCACCCACAGCTTAAACCAGAGATTTCCGTGGTGGCTCTTCACAATTTAGTCTGAAATCTGTGCCCTTCGCAAAGCCATGCAGTATTTATACTTTTGTTTTGTCAACAGCTAATGCTGAAATAACATTTTCCTGAAGAATGGCAGGGACAGCCTGAAACAGAGTTTATGTTTGTTTCCGCCCACGAGAGTCCTGGGCTGCTTGCTGCAACAGGGCATCTGTTAAGGAGGAGTTTAGAGGGCACCTGCAGTGAGAGCTTGCATGTTCACCAGGCCCAGCTCTGGCCTGTGCTCGATCCACTGCCACTGGAGATACGAGTCCTTCAAACTAAGATGAGAGAGACCTCTAGCAAGTCTGGAGGAACTTACCGTGCAAATGCTTACATAAAGGTTAACTCTTGTTACACATCTAGTTTTCTCGTTATAATCCAGCAAAGCGAGTATGAAAAACAGTCATTCTGAGCAGGGAGCATTTTACACCTATTTTGTGCAACTATTATGTGCTGCATTGGCAGGTCTAACTGCCAGTGACTAGCAAAAGATTAAAGCAGTTCATTTTCCTGCTAATGAAACTGAGGGGGATATGAATCAAGCAAAGCTATCTATGACTAGAAGAAAGTTGTCTGTAAGACTGCTTGAGCTGTGGCTGCAAGTTTCACATCTGAGAAGAGAGAAAGAGGGTTAATTTAAGCCATTCATACTGTGCAGTATAATCATCCGCTAGACCTCTGCCTTGTGCTACAAATCTAAGTTCCAGCCCATGTCCTGCAAAAGAAGATTTCTAGAGGAGAAATCTTATCCTAGGCAGTTATGCAATGCAACTTTAGTAAGAGATAGGCAGTGTATGCCTGCTCTTAGAAGGACCTAGCCTTGGCAACTTGTCTGTATATTTAAAACACCTGTAATGCCTCTAGCTCTTGGATGTCAAGCTTTGGAACGAGCATGGAAAATAACTTCATCAGCTCTAGAGTGAGGCTAATATTGTGGTGGTGGCATCTTGCTTTCCATATTCTTTATGACAATTAGAATCAAACGGGATGGTTTCCAAAACCACAGACCCAGGAGTCTAAACTGAATCATATGAATTCTTTTTGTTTAGTTTCTTATGGAATATTTTAATATGTATTTTTCCTTGGCATAGGATCATTCTGTTCTACCTTCCAGTAAAATCCTGTGGAAATGCCTAGAAGTTACATGAAGAAAACATAATCCAGCCTCTGATGGTAACTTGCTGAGCTATGGCTTGCTTTTTGCCATCATTGAAATCAGTAACAAAGAAAATTCCTTTCTGTAGCCATAGGCTTATGGGGGAAAGTCTGATAGATGCGTGTTCTTATAGTTACATCTTTTGTGGCTGATATCTGATATGAACTAAATCATGTTGGTTTCAAATATAAACACATATCTACAGTTTAGCACCTTCAGAAAAAAAAAAAAAAACAACCACAGTTGTGTGTAGATTATTTGTTACTATTATGCATATAGAACTAAGCACTGAGACACAATCAGTCTTATCCAAAGTAGTTAGGTTGAAGTCAGTTTTATTACAGAACTTTTAATTGCTAAGAAAGTTTGCTTTTGAGGGTTAGAAGTTAATTCCCCCTTTCACTTACTATTTTGCATGTCAGAAGGGGACTTTGAATTTTTGCTTTATGGTTAAACTGTTTGGAAGACTGGAGAACTACTGGTAGTTGAATTGTGACATCCCAAGAGACCAAAACCTGAAAGACGGCGAGGGGAAGGAATTTTCATTGGGATCACGGCATTGCCCTGTCTGATGTTGTGTGTTAGCTTTACTGAGAAGACACTGATTTATACCTGCAAAGTATCTAGCTGCTGCTTATCCTTCATTGCTTTTTTGTAATTCAGGATTCCTAACAAATACGTCAGATGAGTCTTCTTCTGAAGCATTTAACGTGCTTGCCATCTCAGTTAAGATTACTTTGTTCAAATAATTTCCTAGCAGCATTGCAGAAACACACAAACTGCGTTTTGTCTAACATAAAACTAAAAAGAACGAAGAAGTAAACAGGCAAACAGAAATCACTCTAAACCTTTGTCATAAAGAAATACAGGAGGTAAAAAATTATTTTATTTGCAGATTACTTATAGTATTTCTAAACTTTAAACCTTTTCCTCTAAGAGAAGTTTGAACAGAGTAAAGATCACAGGATATCATCTGCTGTTTTTACCTCTACGTGTTGCTAAATTGGGCAAAACAGGAAGTGATAAGGACAAAGCATCAGCTTGGGCTTGCCAAGTCCCTTTTAATGGAAGTGCATGCACGCTGTGATTGAATGAGGCTTTATCTTCCTTTGCTTGTATAAAAATTGCTGCTAAGGTAATGAGTATCAGTGGTACCACTGATATCACTGAGTATCAGTGGTAATGAGCTCCAGCTGTACAGTACTAACATTTTTCTGTAATTCACAGCTCTAAGGTGACTGCTAGCTCATTGTCGCTGCCTTACTATCTACACCTTTCATCAGCTCCCTCCATCTGCTACATCCTCCATCTGCCCCCTCCTTCTGCTCCCTCCTTCTGCTACATTTGCAGAATACATTACATTAGCTATTCTTTTTTACCTTAGACATTCTTTTTCAGTGAGAGGTTCTGAAGGCAGAAATTTCAAGAGAGGCTAAGCTCTTTGATTTAATAAATATGGTGTTGTCGTATACTTCCCCAAATTCTTTCACTTCTCAGAAGAAGTTAATGCTAAGTGAAAACTCATAAAAGAACACTTGGGAGAGCTGCCTCTGTGTGTACATCCCACATCCAGGAAATAACTGAATCATGCCAGGGCATAGCAGTATTGTGACTGGGTAGATGTTTGATTAATGCTTAAAGTCTATGCAGCCTTCAGAAGATTCTAGCTAAAATATGATTGCTATAGTCATTTATTGCATTGGGTAAGGTATATATTCCATAACCTTTATGAAGAGTTCCAGAGATGAAGTACTTTAAAGGGTTAGCGTAATAAGAGCGCATTATTATTAGACGTAAGCTGACAGTCCTCAGACTAACCACATATGCAATTTACAGTGTTTTCCATGAAGCATGAACAGTTACTGTTTAACATCTGCTGTTATTGATATTAATAAAAAGTGACACAGCAAGAGGCAGTTTGCATGTGAGGTGGGAGGACATTTGTCTCCAATAAACTGCATTGTTCT